ACTTATTAGATGATGTACTTTTTTATGCTGTTACGAAATATTGATAATTAACCTGCCATTCTATTTTGAAAATAATCTATTTTGTTGTGAAAAGTAAATCTTATTTATATAATGTTGATTTTGTGTTTGAGAGCCTCTTGTTTTACAGTTACAACTGAAATATTGTAGGTACAGCAGAAAACTGTTTGAGTTAGTTGGAGTCAGCAAGGTCACTTGAGTGCACTCTGAGGTCTTACATTTATATACAGTAAATATTGCATAAGTAAATGTCAATATAAATTGTAATACATATCCTAAGGCAGTTTTCTGTCTTGTATGATTTTCTTAAACTGTAATAGTTTTATATTATAAGAATTACGTTAATTGAAAGTTTTTTACAAAATGTACTAAGTGTAATTTGCAAAAAGAAAAATTAATCACATAATTAAACAATTTATAGTACATATTTCTAACATGAACACTGTAAATATTATAAATATAAATGTTACAAGGTGTGTTATTCCAAGTGTTTAAACGTTTTATAAATTTACATTATATTATCATATATATTCTATATCGTGTTGTATTATTAAATCTATATAATATGATTTAATGAGATTTACATTTTCCAGAAGATGTAGAGAGTATGACTGGTGAAATTGAAAATGGAGATTTGGCAATTCGAGATGTTGCGGACCTTCTTCAATCACAGTATGCTATTATAGCAGGTAATTAATATTAGATGTAGCTAATATTATAAAAATGCACTTTAAATTAATGGTTTTTGTTTTGAAATACTTATTTCATATGTACATAGGAGGAAAAACTCGAGAAGGTTGTCCAATAATTACTTTTCCTGATAATGGTAATTTTCATAATTTATCAGATTTGGATTATCAACGTCTCATGCTATACCTTACTTCTGTGCCAACGTGAGTTTACTTCTCTGTAATTATTATTACATATTATGAAATTTAACAAAATAAGAGTATTGTTTATTAATTTTAGTTTACAAGAAGCTGATCTTGGATTCCATTTAATTATTGATAGAAGAAATGATAAGTGGAATTCTGTGAAAACTGTTTTATTAAAAATCTCTGTGAGTATAAATATTGGGAAATATAATTATGGTGTGATATATATTAACAAGATTTTATATTTTTAGGGGTTTTTTCCTGGATTAGTTCACATAGCATATGTTCTACGCCCAGCTGGATTTCTGCAAAAAGCCATTTCTGAAGTTACTAATAAATTTTTTCGTGAAGACTTTAAGTTTAGAGTCATATTTTTAGCAAATATTGCTGAATTACATGAATTTATCGAAGCAGATCAGTTGACAGAGCAGCTTGGTGGTACTTTACCATACTGTCATCATACTTGGATACAAAACAGAATTGTAAGCTTTTAAGAAATAGAAAAAATATTTTTAAACTAAGGAAAATTAAATGCTTACTTTCACTTTCAGAGTTTAGAGAAATTTTCATCAATGACCCAAGACGTGTCTCTCGCATTAGATTCTTTCACGCGGCGCCTAGCCGAAATTGAATTTCCTAACAATACTATTGCAACCACGGCTCTATTATCTCAACAACAAGTTGAGTACAATGAATTAAAAGAAGAAATTCTTAGTGCTGCAAGACATGGTGAAGCATTGTTAGACAGTGTTCGACAATTGACTGGCAAAGGAACAGCTGACCGACTAGGAAATGTTGCAGCTATAGAAAGGTATGGTACAATTTTATGTTAATTTAGTCAGTGTATTTTATATTCGTAAAGTTAAAAGGATATATATTTTCTGATTTCAGGTTACTTGTTCAGTTGGAAGAAACAGAACGTACATTTGACTTGTTTTGGTCACATCATAGTTCTCGTTTGAGACACTGCCTAGCTTTGAGACAATTTGAAGCAGACTTTAGAGAATTACAAGCAACTTTGGACCAACACTTAAAAACTATAGAAGATATGACGGAAGTAGGAGAAACCCAAGCAAGAGTTGAACAACTGCTACTGGACACATCAGCATTTCAGAGAATATGTAGAGTATGTACCTTTATTTCATTCATTCCTGCATTAACATATATTGCTAAATAAAACATCTGTTCTAAATTATAATATGAAGTAACAGAAATACAAAAGAATAATATTTCTGTTTACTTAGACTTTTTCATGAAAAACAGAGGACAACATTTATATGCTATATGTTTAGTATATTTAAAAAATATTATTGTCGCGTTATAGTTACACTGTAACATGTATCACTTACGAATACGTGCATAATGAAAACATACAGTTAAAGAAACAAGAGTGATACAGTATTAATCACTTATTTAGTTCAAGAATGTTTACAATGCACTTAAAGCAACAAGGTGTAATATTCAAACCAGATCTATTTTTACATATTACATTTTAATAAATGAGAGCTATAAATTGTTTTAATAAAATTTCAATAGAGTATATGTAGCCAATGGATGATGACATACCAAAAATTTCTGGTTTGGATGCATTTATATGCCGTTACATATACATATAATGCACATCATGCACAAATGTTACTTTGCACCGCTTTCCTCATTTTGTCGATAGTCCTATTTGTTGCATACCATGTGGATTTGGGTCTTGGTAAGCAATCCACTTAATAAAATACATATATTTCGTAATAGACTTACAATTATAAACACAGCGATAATAACTTTAGTATTTCGACCTTTAAATTCTGTGTTTACTATATCTTGAGATATTAAAATTTAAAAAAGTATTACTTTTAGCGGTTTCTTTATGGGTTTGTGAATTAAATCTCTATAATATTGCTCCATTATATCTAAAGATAGATATACTTCAAATACTGTAAATATTCATACAAGAAAAGAAATAGGGATTTAATTCATGCCTTGTACTGGCATGGTGGATCTTTGAGAATGAATATCATTGTTATTTCTCACTTTGCACTGCACGTAAGATAGTATCCCTTTTTTTTGGAATACTTTTTTAGAAAAATGATTAACTGATAAAAGAAAGTTCAATGACTGTTTGTAGTTTTCTTGTTAATGTTGCTTTGACAGTTGTTGAACATGAATAAAATTCTGTACATTTATAGGGAGATATAGAGCGAGCAGAAGAAGTCATATCGGCTGGTCAACAACTATTGTCTGGGAGGCATCAGTGTCCTACAGATGTCGTAGAGCCTAAATGTGTGGAATTACAGAGAATCTGTACCATTCTAAGTCAAAGATTAGAAAGGCGATTACACATGTTGACTAAATGCAGAGAACTAATGGAACGAATAGACAAGGTATCCACATATTGGTGTTAATAGAAAATTATACAAAAGAATGCCTTTTATGTTAATTATGAATTATAAATTCATTGTGACATGAAATAAATAGGCAAACACATGGTGTACACGTGGAATAGAATTACTTGCGTCACAAAATAACACAACACCGCCCGACCAAGCACTTCAGGAGTTAGAAGAATTAATCGAATCTGCAGAAGAATTTCATCATCCACGATGTATCTTTCAAGATTCTATAATGCCTGAAACTAAAGCTCTAATTACTCAAGTATGTCTCTGTTCTAGGTAGAAAGTTTTACTAAAATATCAGTACAAAACGTTTTATATTCTGAAACTATTTTATTAGGTTTTGCAAAGAATAGAAGACGTATCTGTAATGTGTGATAAAAGGATAATGACATTAAAACAGCAATTGATTAAACCAGCAAGGCCAGTTCAAACAGTAACACCAGAGCCAATTAAGCCAATGCAATCACTGCCACAAACTGTAAAGCCTGGGCGAATTCTTAAGAAAGCTAATACTATGCCAAAGGTAAATAATTCTTTTCCTCTTTTTTATTTTTATGGCATAATAAATAATTTAAATTTGCTGTAGATGGAAATGAGTCCTATAGAGGGAGAGTCATCATCGCCAGAGAATGAGTCTAAAGATATAGAAGCTTCACGCTTAAAACGTGGTCATGTTTTGGCTGAACTTGTTGAAACTGAACGAATCTATGTTGCTGAATTAGGTTCTATAATTAAAGGGTACAAAATGGAGTTAACAAATGAAGCAATGGTTCACTTAATACCGTCAGCATTAGTAGGCAAAGGAGATATTTTATTTGGTAACTTAGAAGACATTTACATTTTTCATGGAGAGACGTTTCTAAGAGATTTAGAAAACTGTATTTCAAATACAGAACTTGTTGCACTATGTTTTGTACAAAGAGTGAGTATAATTAGTATAAATTTGTAATAATTGTAAAATATATACTTATGAAAGTATTTTCATTCCCAGCGTGAAGTATTCTTCAGACTGTACAGTTACTATTGTCAGAATATTCAAAGATCAGAAAGGTTGCGAGAACAGATACAAAATGAACCACAGTTTCTTGTAACATGTCAGCAAAGACTTGGCCATAAGCTACCTCTTGCTGCGTACTTACTTAAACCTGTACAACGTATAACAAAATATCAGTTATTATTGAAAGATCTCTTAAAATACAGTGATGAACCATCATGCTGCACTGAACTACAAGAAGCCTTAGATTGCATGCTTGTTGTATTAAAGTGTGTTAATGATAGCATGCATCAAACTGCGATTACTGGGTTTGGAGTAAGTATAATACTCGATGTTTAAGTATTATTACTGAACAGTGAAATACAATTCATATTATTTCTAGGGTGATTTAAACGCACAAGGCGAGCTCTTATTACAAGGCTCTTTTAGTGTATGGAGTAGTAGTAAACGAGAAAGACTTCGCAGATTAAAGCCATCTCAGCGTCATATTTTCTTGTATGAAAAGGCCCTTATATTTTGTAAGCACAGTAAACCACAAGCTCATAATAAAGCTACATACCACTTTAAAAGATATTTGAAGGTAAGTTTCTTGAAGATGTGTTTATTACAACGCATTTATTGCATTACATAATTAAATATATTTTTATTAGATGTCACAAATTGGACTCACAGAATCAGTTAAAGGCGATGGAAGACGATTTGAAATTTGGCTTCAGGGTAGAGCTGAAGTTCATACAATACAAGCATCCACTATTGAAGTGAAACAGTCTTGGGTGCGTCAGATTAAAGGTGTTCTAATGTCTCAATTAGCTGAACTTAAGGGAAAACAAACTTCTGCTCTTGGAAAAACTAATCACAAGTATGTGATACACGTATTTCTGTACATCGAACTTTAAATGTATCTATTGTAACATGACAACTAATTATACTTGCACAAATTATTTCTAGACCACTACGACAGACGATTTCATGGGAAGCTCAGGGCAGTGTGTCTGGATCTTTACGTACACTTTCAGTGGATGGCAGCAGTGTCATATCACACATTACAGACGTCTCACAGTCAACAGAAGATGATGTTGCTTGGAGTTCAGAAAATAGTAACACAGACGATGAAGACGCTTTCAGTGAAAATGCTGGACCAGCACCCGTAAGTTTCTTTTCTCTTATCATTTAATTCACACAAAGAAGCATTCATGGAGATACTTATAAGTTATGAGGAATATAATCATTTTTTATAATAAGGTGCAGACATATCTCCATTTACGCTTTCCAATGTAGTTTAGCTAATTAGTTAGATAAAGTTAACACCACATCCGAAACTGTATCCAATTAGGGTGGAAGATACATAGCATTAGCTGATTATTGTGCAGTTGGGCAATCGGAAGTGACTATGCGCGAGGGAGACAATCTAGAGCTCCTTAAGGTCGGTTGTGCTGGTTGGTGGTTTGTAAAATTGATAGGCACCGGGATAGAAGGATGGGCACCTGCGGCCTACCTGGAACCAATAAATCGAAAAACCTCACGCAGCTCTCAGTCGGTGAACAGTCAAGAAACTATATGAAACAGGCGTCTAACACACTAGATTTTCCTAGTGTGTTAGGTTTCTACATGTCTCGTTAATGGATATCGATTGTTATGATATTAAATATTGCATATGGAGGCTTTTGTAATATAAGGGAGATGAAGGAGACTTTGAAAATTTTGCATAAAACACAACCAATAACTTATATACATTATATTAAATTTCTTATACCTGTACATTACGTAATATAGCAATATGCGCTTGATTAATATAATTAATCAATAAGCGATTATAATAACACACAACTGTTTCAGTTGAAATTTCGTGGAAACGAATTCGATAAAGTGTCTAGTAATCCCTTTTAAGCAAGAAGTCAGGGAATAGAGAAGTTGTATGAACTTTTAATCACATAAAGTGCACTCCAAATGATTTGTTGGTGTAAGAACTTTATGCGAAAAAATAGAATATGTATTTATGAAACAAATATACTATTTATTAGATTTATTCTTGCAAAGAGAATGACATTTATAGAATTGTACAAAACGAGTTTCGATAGCAAATTAATATCATGTACACGCATATTTGCATTTACGTGATTTACGATTGCTGCAGGTAATCAGATTTTAGTATGTCAAGTTACATACTGTAATACTAACATGAAAATCTACAAAGAAATGCAATCATTTATACAATTCTGTTATTATATTTGTAAAAATTTTCATGGGCGTATGACT